GACGCCCTCCCGCAGCCGCAGCTGCCGCCAGAGGCGCACGGGGAACCGGTGCAGGGGCATCGTGGAGCCTGCGGGCGGGGCGGTCGTCACTAGCGGCCCGAACCGAACCCCAACCGGGCCATGGGCCGGACTCCTGGTCCACTCGGGAACGGACGCACGGTCGGTTCACACCTTCACCGCCTACTGCTAGCGTCGCCGGAGCCGGAAGTCGTGCCGAGACCTACTTACGCTGCGGACTGGCTGAAAGGTCTGTCCGTCTCCCCCTCGTCCCGCCCCCTCTCCCGTCCTTAGGGGCCGTGGATACTGCATCAGCTCAAGGCACCGTCGGCAAAGTGCGGCGCGCGGTCTCTCGGCTCCTGCCCTCCGTACCCTGGGCAGGCGTGCGGAGAAAACGCCCAGCCCCGTTTGGCTTGGCCACCACCAGAGGGTGCTGCTCTACTAAGCACTGGATACGTCCTGCCGTCCTAGTTTTCACCCCCAAAACGACCACGTCACCTTCCAGGTCACCAGCTCTGGTGTCCTGGCAGGTAGGACGCCAGTGCCGACGTCCAGAGGGCAGAGGCTGCCGGGCCCTGGAGGCGGGGAGCCCCCTCGCCTTCGTCCCCCACAGACCGAGCTCCAAAGAGGAGCCAGGGTCCCCAGGCCCGAGTGGGCTCCTGCCAGGGAAAAGCAGTCCCAGCTCCTGGGGCCGGTCCAAGGCCCAGGAGGCTGCAGTCGGGGCTCCCCAGTCCTCACATGGGGCGAAAGGAGGCTAGGGCCTGCTGCGCGGGGCTGCTCACGCCGGCCTGAAGCGGCGGCCCCAGGGTGCAGTTTGGGGAGTGGAGCCCGCCCAGCCCCAGCAGTGGGCTTAGGTCTCCCTGTCCTGTGGGTCTCACAGGGATTGGGGTGGGGGGTCCCTCGGGATCTCTAAGCACTCCCCGGCCAGCAGAGCCCAACCCCACTCCAGGCAGGTACCAGGTGTCTCCAGGCAGCCAGGCCCAAGCCCCCAGGGCCCAGTTGAGCAGCAGGCAGAGCAGAGAGTGGCAGACGCGCTCGGGCAGTTTTATTTAGCTGGAAGTCAGTCGGGACAGTTCCCGCCTCGCTACTGGTCCCGGCGGCAGAGGCCCTTGGTGGAATCTGGCCACGTCACGTCACCGTGTATAGTTCATCCCGGTCGTTCCTGCAGATCTGGTAGTGGCAGGGGAACTTGGGCGAGCAGGCACAGGGCTCGGCGTGCCCCTCGCGGGGCGGCAGCAGCAATGCCACGCTCCCCGCCAGCAGCATGTGCCAGATGCTGTGTGTGTAGTAGTAGTTGTCGACGGTCATCATGGAGGTGTAGATGCCAATGCCCAGAGAGGCCATGGCGATGCCAGGCAGGAGGTGGAAGGCCCAGCGCTGCCAGGTCGTGGGGTAGCACTGGCGCCGGTGCCCACAGCGGTACACCTGTGGTGGGGCACACGCGTCAGCACAGGCAGGGCTCCCCGCTCCCAGGGCTCCCCGCTCCCAGGGCTCCCGGCAGTGGGCACGGGCCCACCGGGTCTAGGCAGAACCACAAGGGAGGATGGGGAGGCACTCAAGGGCACAAGGCCCCGGCCGGGGCGGGAGTAGGGCTGGGAACGCTCTTCTCCAGAGTCTGGGCAGGAGTGCCTGGTCAACCTGGCTCCTCACCCACATGGAAGCCATGATCACGAAGGCGAAGAGGCAGGGCCCCACCATATTCCAGATGCCCCTGCGGTCGAGCTGCAAGGACATGGCGATGACCAGGGTGCCCAGGAGGAACAGGACCTGGCCGAGACACAGGACAGCTGAGCAGTCAAGGAAACCTCCAGCGAGGGCTGTGTGGCTGGGCCACATGGTCACCTCTGTGCCCACTGTCCCAGCACCTGTGCCTACCCCTGGAGCTGCTTGCCACTTTGCTGTGCCCCCCCCCGCCCCCGCGCTCTGTAGTGAGGAGGCAGATACGCTGGGCCACAGAAAGCTGGTGTCCCTGGGGACCAGCAGATGACTCCCCCATAGTTGACCACAGTGCCAGTCTTGGAGCTGACACCTTGAAACTCACTCTGGGCACTTGTGCATGTGTGCCCAAGATCCCAAGAGGAGACAGGAGGAGAAGGGATTGCAGCATGGCCATGTCCCCGGGTGGTGATTTTTCATTTACTGTCTCTCTGTTCCTGTTTCTCCGGCAAGCGCACGCACCATATAGCAAAAATCTCTCTTAAATTAAAAAAGGTGGTGGTGTCCCACAGCAGGACACGGTCACACAAGCCAGACAACCACATGAAATGGCTCTGCACCCACATAGTAACCTACACCCTGCACCTCCAGCAGTTTCCCAGCACAGTGGCCTACATCCCCCCAGCTGCTCTCTGGAGATGGTTCCTGCCCCTAAGTCTCCATCAGACACCCCTGACCACAGTTCTCTCTGCAAGTTCAAGCTCCCGGGCCACAGCTGAGCTGGTCCTTGCCACTTCTGAGCCCCGCTTCCCACCCCCCTGTGGGCACCCCTCAGGACAGCACCAGACCTGACCTGACCTGTGGCCCCCAGGGCAAACCCAGGGAGAACAGGGAAGACAGCTCAGGGTGACCAACCAGGCCCAGCTGCCACAAAAGTCCCTGGAGTGCCCTTGGCCCGAGGGGCTCAGGAGCACAGCGAAGGCTGAACCCAGGCCCCACTCTGAATGGGCCCAGGGAGCTCTGAACAGGCAGTGGGGGCTCCCTGACCCCATCACCACCTTCCTCCCGGGGTCCTCCAGCAGTTCCCCACCACTTCACAGGAAATGCATACCCTCGGAGGCCCCTCCCCAGAGCCCTAGCCACCTCCACAGTCACTCACATGTTTTAGGATGGCCTTCAGCCGTGCCATGCAGAGAATGGTGACCCACGTGGATACCCCGGAGCCCAGGAAGTCGCAGTACTGCAGCGTGTCATAGCCCAGGATACACAGCGCCGCCTCTCCCGGCTGGTCGCAAGCGTGGTAGAACTGTGGGGGCAGTGAGTGTGGCCCGGACCTCCCCCCCAGGTCCCTGGGAGTGGGCCAGGCCTACCGTGGAGAAGAACATGGTGTAGGCGTAGACAGAGGCCTCCACCAGGAGCGAGCGGTGTGTGGCCACAGCGATGGGGGCCAGGAACACCAGGTTGCTGAGGGTCAGCAGGAGCGTGGCCACCCGCTGCTGGACCATGGTCTGGGCTGTGCTGTTGTCCGTGCAGCTCCACCCGCGCCAGCCTGGGCACACACCACCACCAGGCCAGGCTGAGTAGGATTCTGGACCTTGGGGCCCAGCGCTCACCCAAGGCCCCATGAGGGAGCCCCTCCCTCACCCAGGAGCAAGCATGCAGGCAGGGATGCGGAGACCAAGGTCAGGACGCTGCCCGTGCCTGTGTGGGCAGGGGATGGGCAGGGTGGGGAGAAGGCCCACACTTCTGGGGAGCACGCTCGGGTTCAGGCCAGCAAGCTGCGCAGGGCGCCTGGGGCCCTCACCTGCCTTGCAGCTGCAACCTGCGTACAGGTAGCTATGCCTGCGCAGCAGCAGGCACTGGCCGTAGGGGCCGCAGTCGTTCAGGCAGGGCACCAGGTACATGGTGGTCTCCACGCGGACTGCCGTCCGCTCGCAGCCCCTGCCAGGAAGGGCCACAGAAAGGCTGCTGCAGAGACTTGAGGACAGTGCTTTCCCAGACAGACAAACACCCGAGCCCAGATGAGGGGCACTCCTACTAGGGCTGCCGTGGGGGCCAGATGGAGAAGGGGACACTAGGACGTGGCTGGGCCCCACAGCCAGCAGGAAGCAGGGTCACTCCCAGCCAACCTGGGGAGACCCTGCTGGTCCCAGTGGTAGGCCTGAGCTCACTCACCCAGGGTTCTCGGGGCACAGGAGCTGCAGAGAGAGGTACCAGTCGTCTGTCTCAGGGAAGGGGACGACGAGACTGGCCGAGTGTGAGGAGGCGTGCAGGGACAAGCGGTAGCCCTGGAAGAAGGCTGGGGTGGGTGGGAAGACCCGTCAGAGGGGCCGAAGGGGCTGGCTGGGCCCTGCTGGTGCCACCTGCCCCGTACCTGTGGTGCAGTTGAGTGAGACGCTGAAGGTGAGGAAGGCCGAGGCGGCATTCACACAGGCTGCTACCAAGGTGCCCTCTGCGATCTCTGTCTGAGGGAGCACGTGGGGTCAGCCCTGGTTAACTGCAGGGTGGCAACCAGGTATCTCCCCTGCATCCCAGCACTGTCTGGAGTGAGGCTCTGCTGGCCCAGGGTCAGCCTGAAACCCTTTCCCTCCCAGGCCTGAGCTGCCTCGAACCCTGGCCACTTCCACAGCCCCAGAACCTGCCAACAGGGACCCTGGACAGGCCCACTCCTGCTGTGTCACTCTGGCCTGGAAGGCTGCCCTGGCCAGTCTCCATGCTGAAAGGCGCACACGAGGGACCGGGCAAGTCATCCGGTGCCCTGCATGGAGCCCAGGCCACGAGACACTTGTGAACAGGCCTGGTGGGCTGCCAGGAAGGGATACCTTGTTGGCCCTCAGAGAGATGGTGAGGGAGCCCCCACTGTCCATGCCCGTGTTAAGGCGGAGCTGCAGCATGGAGGGCGTGCCTGGATGCACCGGCACCGACACGCTGTCCAGGGGCTGGAAGCGCACAGACATCACATCCATGTCCTCCCTTGTGACTGGGTAACTCAGGATGCAGAAGGGGCCAGTGCCCACCCTGCCGCTCCTGCCCAGGTCTTGGGGGCTGGGGCCCAGGAACAGCTGGACAGCTGAGGCATTAGAGCTCCGGTTCAGGCTGCTCTGTGGAAGGCGCTGGAAGGTCGTGCTCCATGGCCTGCAGGCTGTCAAGAGGACGGGGGTCTGCTGGGGAAAGGCCTGGGGGTCGAAGCAGCAGGCAGAGCCCCTCCACTCCCTCTCTGCACAGCCCACCTGTGAGGGCAGCCACGGCACTGAAGACCACAGATGCATGGGGCCCCACGAGGCTCTCAGCCGTCACCTGCAGCCACCGGTCCCAGGGTGGTGAAGACAGCAGCAGGTGGCAGGGCCAGGTGGGGCTGGTGCAGGACAGCACCTTCTGGAAGCTGCTGGGCAGAGTGGTGGAGCCCACGGTGAGCCGCACAGGGCAGCCCAGGCTGCCATTGGAGGAGCAGTCCTGCAACTCCACCCGCAGCTCCCGGGTGTATTTGGGGATGAAGACCCTGCAGCAAGAGATGCAGCCTGCTTGGACTCCACACTGCCACCCTCCCATGAGTGCAGCCCCACTTACCAGCACAGCCCCGAGGCCCCAGAGCTCAACCTTTTCTCCACGCGGTGGGACCCAGTGGCACCTATGCCCCATTGCAAAGGCTGCGGCTGCTGGACAGACCCAGGCCTCCCTAAGGCCCCACTCACTTGAGGTAGCTGGGGTGAGAAAGGAGGGTCTGCGGAAGGGGTACATCGGGCTCCATGATTGAGACCTGGACCACTCGCATGACCAGCATGTCAGGCTGGAAGATGTAGGCACAGGTGGGAATGAAGCCCTAGAGGACAGGTGCAGGGGGAGGTGAGGTCACAGATGCAGCTGTGCGGTCCAAGGGCCCAGGGAGCAGGCATGAGGAGGTGAGGGACTGAGGAAAAGACATCAGATACTGGAGGAGCAGGTATGGGGGGTCCAGAAGCAGGGGAGGTCAGGGGAACAGTTGTGGGGGTCTGAGAACAGTTGTGCAGGTCAGGAGAGGAGGGGTGGTGGGGTGCAGGCATGGAGTGGGGGAGCAGGGCTGGGGGTTGGGGGGGGGGGGAGGTGTGGGGGTCAGGGAGCAGGCGTGCGGTAGCAGAGCAGGCATGCAGTGGTGAGCAGGCATGGGGATTGGGGAGCAGACATGGGGGTGGGGGAGCAGGTGTGCAGGTCAGGAGAACAGGCATGGTGATTGAGGAGCAGACCTGGAGTGGCAGAGCAGGCGTGAAGGTGGGGGAGCTGACCTGGGGTGGGGGAGCAGGCGTGGGGGT